TACTGAATTCTGAATTAAGGAACTTGATTGGTGACTAGGTATTGGGCTTTGTTAGGTCTAAAGAAGTTCAGCCCAAAAGAATTCAATGGACTACGGTCTGCAAAACCCGTAGAAACAGGAAGACATGGAGGCCCAAGTATCTATAGGGTAAAATCGTCAATTGCTTACAGCTTTATCCGCATTTTCTGGCCTTCCGCAAGTACTTCTGCTGTGGGTGTGTCTGCGCTCAACTAAAACATTTTCCGCCAAAAATGGCGGCACTTCATCTCAACCGTTCATTGCTATCACCACCCGCCGGGAATCGTTTCTTCAAGAAATCACGACCGCCGGTTGCCCCGAAGTTCGTCTGCTACGCCCCTCAGCACACAAACAAGGTAATGCAGTTCGTTCTAGTAGCTCGAATCCGAAGCAGTATTTCGTCAATCGAAATTAGAGATTCTGGAATTGACAAATTATTGTTCGTATAATGGTTTTTTTTTTTTAACCTTCTCTTCTTTGGTTGGTTGTTTCAGTGGAAAAGGGACTACACAAGTGTGATGATAGTGCCGACGGGGGTTGGGGCTGCCATTGGAGGGTTCGCCGGTGATGCTTTGCCTGTTGCTCGCGCCTTGTCTTCTGTCGTCGATTGCCTCATTACACATCCCAATGTAACCTTTTTTCCTTTCTCTGGTAATGTTTTTGAGTAAAATGTTAAATTTCGTTTTGATGGTCACAGTTTAACTAAATTTCCATTAGGTACTGTGGCATTTATAGATATTTCCTTGTGAATGTTGTTTAATTGTTGAATTAATATCATTCATAATCATATAATTTATAGTTGCTATCAATGTTGGAAATCTTCTTGCACATTGGTTAATTTTGTTTACCAAATAATTCACTTATCAATATGTTGGGTGGTTGGAGAAAATGGAAGGTTAAAGAATTTCTTTGTTGTTTAAGAGAGAATCGGAAATGGTGGGCTCCCTTGCTCGAGCATGAATTTTGTTTTCTTGTTACGAACTATGTTACTTTTGCAGGTGCTTAATGCGGCAATGTTATACTGGCCCATGCTCAATGTTTTGTATGTTGAAGGTCATGCTCTTGACAGGTTTGCAGAAGGGTTATGGGTGCTGCAACCCGTTCACCAGAATAAGGTGTGTTCCATATTCTCTGTTTGTTTTGCTTTAGTGCAGGCTCCTACACAGTCAAGGTTCTTCTTGCTTCTGGCTAGTAAATGCATTTAGCTTGTGGTATGATTCAGGTGGGGTTGGTTCTTGATGCTGGAATAGAGGAAGATCTCAGAATCCGTCATTTGCAAGTTGCTGATGCAACCAGGGCTTCCCTTGGATTGCCTGTTGTAGAATATACTGTCACTGACACCCCTTTAGAGGTGAAAATTTAATTCAACTGAGTAGAAATGTTTATGAAGTTGAACTTAAGCTTCCAGTGTAAATAGCAAAGGATTACAGTACAGGCAGTCATTTATATCTTCTTCTTAATAGCATTTCAATAATTTAATAGCAGAATCTCTTGCATATAATTCTCTAATATACAATCAACGAAACTCTTTCCCCCTTGATGCAAACTGCTTTACTTTGATGTCTAGAGCCTTGATTCCTTTTTCCCTTGATGCATGTTTGAGTTGAGGTTGGAGCTATTACTTAACTTTTTAATACCCACATTAATATTCTATAAAGTTGTATTTGACCTTAGTTAGAAGGGACTTCAACTTGAACCCAATGAAGTCCGAGTAAGAATTGTTCTGATGATTTCGCTAATTCAAACAAGTTTGCAGGTGGAAAAGTGGATAGATTGTAAATCAGGGCAATCAACAGGTGCGATTAAACATCCTGATTCATTGCTGCGGGCTGTGCAGACTTTAGTCAACCGAGCACAAGTGAATGCCATTGCAGTTGTTGGACGTTTCCCAGAAGATGATGATGGAGATGACCTTGATGATTATCGACAAGGAAAGGTAATGCAATTTCTCCTTGACCTTTTGGTAATAAAGAAGCAGTGTATCTTGTTTTCAGTGATGTCTTTGAAGGTATGCTATAAGCAAACATCAGCTTTGGTTCAGGTCTAACCTGCTTGCTTTTGTTTATCAATTTATTTGTTCTGAATTTTTGTAATAATCTGCACGGTGAAAAGTGTATTACATATCTATGTTGAGTTTGTTTTGAATTTTCATCCTAGTTTTTGTTGCATATGATGATATGGATTTTCGACGAGCTTTTATCATGGAGGGCTTGCATGCTAGTGCAAGCTTGGAGCTTGCAACCAAAGCTGATCAGGGTGTAGGGTTGTAGGTTACAAAGCATGCACTAGGCCTATGTCATTTAGAACCTTTGGCATTTTTTCTCTTCATTTTGATGCTACATTAGAAATCGACATTAGTCAATTGAATGGGTGTAATTGACTAAATGGGGCTAGTGTCTGAGAAATATGGAAGATTGCTCTTATAATCTCTGATTTCTGCTACCTATGGACATTGTTCTATTGACCTAACCATGTAAATTTCTTTCGTATCAATTTCATTGCTTGTTTGAAATTGTTGGTGACTGGTGAGTTTGTGACACTATTTGTCCCTAATGGTTTTTCTTGCTTTCTTTTAATAATTAAAACAGTTTAAACTCATTCTTGTTTCTTGGTTTAATTTCTGATGTAATTTTAAATAACAGATCTTTGTTGCATATGTGATTTTTGAAGATCAAGGTTTATGGGAAATACTGGCCTGATAAGTAATTTGCAATTTTCTAGCCTTAAGTTTCTGGCTGCAACTTTTCCTTGTCTTAAGTCTGTCATCAATAGCAGATGGTTTTATAAAGTCTTCTGATTCCATGCTGTGAACCTGCTTCTAGGGAATAGATGTATTGGCTGGAGTGGAGGCTATAATAAGTCATCTAGTGGTGAAGGAATTCCAGATCCCTTGTGCACATGCTCCTGCAGTATCACCCCTTCCATTGAGCCAATGTCTGAGCCCAAAATCAGCAGCTGAGGAGGTTTGTGAACTTTTGAATGACAAAATAACTTATACGTTGTAGATAAGGGAGGTGAATATGTATCTGTCTGCACATGGACATGAACACCTGCATGTTATTATGGGCTTGCTAGTCGGTCTTTTCTTTTGCTGGTCAATATTTTCTTTGTTGAGCTCTGTCTCTTACATAGGCATGCAAACATATGTACTCACTGATGATTTCACCTATCTAAATCCTATTAAGCAGATAGGGTACACATTTTTGCCCTGTGTCCTTGCTGGACTTAGTAAAGCACCACAGTACCTGATCAAGAGCCCTGAGTCCTTGGAGAAACGTTCTATATGTGCTAGTGATGTGGATAGCGTTATTCTTCCTATGAATGCTTGTGGAGGAGATGGTGCTCTTGCTTTTGCAAGAAGCAAAAGAAATAAGGTAAAATTATGAAGGCTTGAATCTCTTCGTTTTCACTTTACCCATTGAAATGTCTGGTTAATTCATTGAAGACCAGGTATGCTATTTAGCATATCCAGTCCATTTTCCATTAAATTATCTTTGAAATTTAACCCTGAACGATTTCTGTTTGAGCTATTTTCCATTTATTTCTAGATATATTAGGTATTGATTAGATGGCCAAAAGAATATTAGGTATTGATCCTTTATAAGAAGTGACTCTTTTTCTTTTCTCCCTTCCAGCCGCTGATAATCTGTGTGGAGGAAAATGAGACAGTTTTGAATGACACTCCTGATGAGCTTGGGATCAATGCGGTATGTATGTAATTGATAATTGAACTATTGTTCTAATATCTTTCTGTTTTTGTCTTTGCTTTACTGTGAGCAGCTGTCATAGTTTAATAATTACTGAGTGGAAAAGAGAATTCAAATGGTATTTATTACCCACCCCCACCCCCCCCAAAAAGAAAAAAAAATAATAATAACTGAACGCAAACGGAATCTCTTTTGCAGATGAAAGTATCAAACTATTGGGAAGCCTTGGGTGTTATTGCAGCTCACAAGGCAGGAATAGACCCTTACTCTCTCCGTAGAGACCATATTGATAAAATACGACGCACTTCTATTATGCCAGCTAAAAATGGTTGTGCAGCCTCAAGAGCCATACCCATCAATTAAACGTGTAGATCGAGGAAAGAGTTTTTTTATTGCCTAGTCTAGTTGTACGTATTTAACAAATACAGAAAGCTTTTCCCCCAGTATCAATTAAACGTGTAGAGGAAAGAGGGTTTTGATTTGTGGTGCCATGATGCTGTAGCAAAGAGTATTTATTCCCCCTCAAATTCACTTCGGCTGGTAACCTCCTGTGATTGGTGTGTCGGTGTCGGTGTTAATTTGGAAGTTGATTTTGGACGTCAAATGTCCACCGTCGATCAGTCAAAAATCGATCCCAAATTCTGTCGTTTAAAATGAGCTGGATTGGGATTTTCCTAGACAGCCAGGGCGGGCTACTCAATAGACAGTGGTGGTTGGAAAATTTTCCATGTTTCAGGAAAACTCAACTCTGATGGAACATAAAACAGCTAGTCAAATGGGTTCCTCATGTTTTGGTATGTCATTGTTTCTTTGACTCATAATATCGACATGAATTTGTCTCTACCAATCGACGTGGTGGATCTAACGGAATTTCAATAATTTCTACGTGCCTTATTATTCTCAAAAGACAGCTAACTCTGCACGGCTGCAGCAAAATGTTTTCTCAGAGTCATGGGGTTCAAGTGTTGAACCAATCCTATTGTGACAGCTTTGTTCTCTGTTCTCATTCCGTTTCTAAATGATAGTTCTGTCCAATTAATTGGCTCTTTATTCTTCGGGAAAGTAGATGTGTTTTCAATGTTTTCATTAACATCAACCATAGACATGAAATTGGTAAAAGCTTATTCAATTCATTTTGAGCGAGTTAAAACCACAAAAGAAAGCAACACTTACAATTAATAAAAAGATAAGAGTAGGTAGAATTCATTCATGACATATAATAATATATATAGTTGTTAAAATAAATTTTCAAAATTATTTTTAGAGTGTATACAAGTTAGTCTAAAAATATTTTTAACTGTTAAAAAAAAAAAAAGAATTTTCAAGAATCTAAACACCTACATCTACTCATCAAAACTAGAGTAAGATATATTTGACCATCAAAATTTCAAATTTTTAAATGAAAGGTTCTATTTTTTATTCAAATCTTAAGTAAATAAAATGTTTGTGCGTGCAAAGAAAATACACCAAGAAAAATTAAAGAAAAACTGTTAACTTATCCCTTGGTAATTCTATCTTGAATCGGAACATATAGTGCGTGCAAACTAGTTTAATTACTACGAGACCATTTGTTTCTTACATAAAAATTAAAAAAAAAAACTTATATTTAGAAAATAATAGGTCCAAAGAAAATGGAGAAAAACAAATTAATGAAAAGACTAGAAACCGGCAATGAGATTTTTTTTGTCTCGGGTAGGTGCCGGCCAATGCGAGCCACAAGGTATAGGGTTTTATTAAAGTTGAAACTTTTTGAAAGGTCATAAATATGTAAGGGAAAAGCAGCTGTGGACCTGTGGTTCGTTTGTCAGTGGAGTGGAATCATCGAATGTTGCTCTTGAAACTCATGCTTGGAGTTGTTCACCCATTCAAGTCACAATTAACATCATATGCCCCACATATTTTATGCTTTTAGCACTCGAGGAGACCCCGGAGGCACAACTTTAATTTTAATGCTTGATTAATTTAAGATTTTTTTTTTCATCATATACTCTTAA